TGTACTGAGGACTACGTCTGTATATACCTAGTGTACTGAGGACTACGTCTGTATATACCTAGTGTACTGAGGACTACGTCTGTATATATCTAATGTACTGAGAATTAGTTGTTCATCATCTAAAATTTCATCATTTCATTGTTGAGAATATGAACAAAATAACATACATATTCGAAGTCTTGTTATAGTCTTTAAATAATGAATATATACATTACCACTCATAAAAGAAACAATTGATAATGCATTTAGTTGAAATCAACAACGATTTTCCAGACCACGATCACCGAGTTTAACGCCATTTTTCAGCAACGTATTTCTGTTTTACACCGCGTGCTGATGTATACATGTAACTAGTTAAAGGCAGAAACTGTTTAATTTATTTGGCAAACCTCGTTGACTGTAACAAATATGTGTGAAATTCAACCTGTGTTTTATTGTTATTTTTCGACTTGCTGACATTAAATAAAGCTTGTCTTATTAGTATTATCTCATTCTGATCGAGTCAGTAAATATCAGAGATCAACAAAAGCAACTTTCTCTTAAGGTGGCTCCACACTTTCGCAATTAACCAGCAAAATTCGTTGAAACTTTCATATAATGGTTATGCAACTACGTAGAGTTGATTTTATGAAAATCTAAACATTCCGATAGTTTGGGGACTTTTTTGGAAAAAATACCAAAAAAATGAATTTCGTCAATTTTAATATTTTCCGGGGTTTTTTTTGTGTGTGGCATTGTTCGGAACAATAACAACAATAATAAAATGAAAAGAAGCATTTCTAATTAACCCTACAAATATTTTATTTATCGCAAAATAGGTAACACATGTTACACAAAGTGTTTTTTATTGAATTTGTACGGATAAAAGTGATTATCTACAAGCTAAAAGCAAACAGAACACAACGATCTATACATATAGAATGGGAAATTGAACAAAATATACACAATGGCTTTATAATTAATTTATTTTACATTTTACAATCACTTCGATCCGGGTGAGAGTTATCTTCCTTGAAAAAAGTCGGAACTTTTTGCAGAGGGGTGACATTTACACAATGACAGTTGTCTCTGTTTACATATAACAAAAATGATGGAAATAAATCAAAAATATGATATCAAAATTATCAATTTATTGTTCTTTAATGGAACCAAATTACCCTCAGTCATGTACACTTTGGACATCATTCCACAGTCCGCTAACTCACGGTATATTTATAATTACATGTCAGGTACATATGTGACCAGAGGCTATCGCATGGTATGCCGTTCTCACGTGCACTCACACATGCATTTCATAGGTATCTTGATATTTTACAAAACATTATTTTCACAGAGTAAGTAGACTACATTTGTAAACACGATTTAATCGACAGAGCGAAACTCCCTCAACAGCGAAAATCGTAACGACCTCGAGCTTATGAACTCGTGTAAGCACGTGATATGCACATGTGAGGTCGGTACGTCCGCATTCCATGTGTTTCCTATATGACCTTCTTGAGGTCGTCTGGTCTCATGTCACTGTCTTCCCGTGAGTCTGTTTATGTCTATGAATTGGAAAGCTTTATTCCTGAAGTACGTGTGATTATACATTTCCCGGTAAAATCTCGATATCGGGTGTTGACATATCATCGGCACGCACGTGTACTATTGTTTACCAGGGGCCTGTTCGTTTATGCGGAACAACCGGTTTGACCGTTTATAAATGTAACAATTCCGGGTATAAATCCTGGCGGACCTACAAATGTGTATGCAAGACTTGCAAGGCTTTCTCAAGGCTCGCCTGAAAGCAGCATCAGATTACTAGGTCCCACCTTATTTAATAAACGAACAACAGTGGTCCGATCGGTTTGACCGTTTAAACGAAAACGGCCCAGGTGTTAATATAATTTGCACTACGATATTGAATGCCCGATACGCAATACGGAAATGACGACACGGTGTACATGCACATTTCGATCAAGATAATTGAGTCCGAGCTGTACTTTTTCCGGAAGTACGTCACGAAAATGGACGCTGATGACGATGTGTGGAGCCACCTTAAGGCTTTGCCTTTTCATACTTAGATAACAGGGATTGGCAAAACACCCACATGTATTTCACGTATGTATTGCATTGTCCACCTCTAGTATTTGTGCACCGAACCGTGACGGCATATGACCCTCTCGCTGGAGCCAATTTAACTGTACTGCGCTTGCGTGCTATCTCAAAGACCGGTTTCTGGTATCTAAATCTAATTCCGTGCTAATACTGATGTTGTGTACGACAAACTCTGTGATGTTTAGGTGTTTTATACGGCTTCTTCATTAATCTTAATGTTACATGTTATAAAACCTAATGTCTCCAGAAGTAACAATTAGTTACATTTGATGTTCCCCAAGTTATCATCAGTTAAAATCGACTACATCTGATGTTACCTAAGTTATCATCAGTTAAAATCGACTACATCTGATGTTACCTAAGTTATCATCAGTTAAAATCGACTATATCTGATGTTACCTAAGTTATCATCAGTTAAAATCGACTACATCTGATGTTACCTAAGTTATCATCAGTTAAAATCGACTACATCTGATGTTACCTAAGTTATCATCTGTTAAAATCGACTACATCTGGTGTAACCTTCGGATATAAGTTACGATACTGACTTCCTAATTGCAGTAAGTTACAAGTGAAGTCACTTAAGTACATGTGTTACGCTTAGTAATATTTAGTTACAAGAGACCAAAGCCCATGTAGTTCTCTGGGCATATTACTGGAGTGCTTGGAACTGCTGACTCCAGTTGTCGGGTTCCAATTTTATCCTGGCAAGTCCCGTAAACAAGAGGCTGTATGCCATTTCTGTTATGTAATTTGTATTCTAATATATGTGCTAGTATTTCTTTTAATATAATGAAATTAATGATCTAAATAGCACAGGGAACTAAAATGCAATATATGAGATATTTCAATAGCTATGTCCCTGTGGTAGCCCATTTATGTTGTTATTTTGATAAATAGTCTGTAGTAATGTAGTTACCCCTATTCCGTCTTTGCATATTGCAGAGTTATCTTCTCTTGATAACAGGTATTGATTATTACGTCACTTGTTTAAGAGAGTAACGTCATCAATTTTTGAGAAAACGACGTGATTTTCTCACACAAACCAATGACGTAACAATCAATCCCTGCTCCCAAGAGAAGATAACTCTGCAATACGCAAAGACGGAATAGCTACGCCTGGTAACATTGAGCTACACTTTGATTTACAATTTTTTAATTTTCAATGGGCTTTACGGTGTTGCGATGGTTCGTGTGTAGGATTAATTTGTTAAACTAGTGATTGTACAAATTGAACTTATTAACTCAGAGGTTGTACATATTGAACTTATGAACTCAGAGGTTGTATAAATTGAACTTATTAACTCAGAGGTTGTACAAATTGAACTTATTAACTCAGAGATTGTATAAATTGAACTTAGTAACTCAGAGATTGTACAAATTGAACTTATTAACTCAGAGGTTGTACAAATTGAACTTATTCAGGTAAATCCAGAGATTGGCAACTTGCGCAGTTCTCGTAAACCCACGCATGAGCCTGTTTTTCTCGAAGCCGCGCATGTTCTGATATAAAAACTACGTCACATAATGATAAGGCTGTAGCACTATTTTATGGCACGGTCGTAGGTATGACTGAACTCGTCCGCGTATGATAAACCTCACTTTTGACGGAGACTTACTTGTATAGTCACGGCATAACATATTTCATGTACAATTAATAACGTTTGTTTCCTCGTTTATCTTCAAGTGGACAAGAACAGAAAGAAAGTGAGGATTAAGGAATATGACATGGACAGTTCAGGTCAGTAACAGATCTAGGTTTGAAGGCTAAACGTGTGGTGTGGATGTAATGTTTTCATAATGACAGCGGTTTTCAATAATCTGTGACGGGTTGAATTTATGGTGATGTATTAATTTTTAAACTCGGAGAAGGAAAATGTTTTATTCGCCGAAAGTCAAAATGGCGCTATCATAACGTTTTAGCATGCAATTTTCATGCTAAATCAACGTTGAAGATATCTTGTATCGGTGATGATTTTTCATTTTTCAAGAACATTTTCATTTATTAATGTATTTTTAGAATTTATTGACTTGGCGGTTTCCGTCATCAACTTAAAACCACCATGTAACTGCCCATTACAAAGATTATAAGATAACAGTAGTTTATAAAACACGTATTTGGTTTTGAGGTGTTGTGTTTATCTGTGGTCTTATATATTTCTACAGTGTCTATTTAACGTTAATCTGTATTATTCTGTTTACAGGTACATGCATTTCTGTACATTTCTGTACATTTCTCAAGGATCAAATATTGTTGCAATTGTAGGCAGTTTATACACCCCATAGATAACTTAATCGCCAGGATTGGACCAGATTATATATTGATCTATCCATGTATAGACTGGAAACCGAAGTGAACTCTGAACGTATACACCGGAAACTGGGAAGCTTTTATGTGAAAATTGCAAAACTGTTTTTGGTAATTTCATCGATAGAACAATTTATCATCTCGACCAATCATTATAATTTAATCCTAAAATGTGAAGGCAACTCTTTTCTTTCAAACAAAACGTTTGTCATTTTGATTCACAACTGAAATAGTATTTTTATGAATACGTGTAGGGCAATGATTTACATGCTGATTAAAGAAATGCCTTGTTTTAACACGCACCGATCTAGTTGGGCCGGAGCTTTTAATAGGCTCCTTTACATCTTGCCATGCACAGATCTTCGCTAATTGTTGAGAATGTTTCCTTGTCATTTATTATAAAATCAAGCATAGTGCTAGAGTGACCAATTCAATAGCATGTAATCGCAGACGAATATTCAAGTGTGACAAATGACCGCTTTTTGGGGGGAAAAGTAATACTTTGTGTATGACGTCATCAAAATATGTTCTCATTTTTTGTTATCACTTGATAGAGTGTAAAAACACAAAACAATAAAAAAAAAATGGTTACAAACGATATTTTTTCAAACCCCTAAGCGGCGCAAAGCGCCGCCGGGGTTTGATCTGTAAACACTTTATCCACTTCCTGTGCTTCCCCATGCTTGAAAGCCTTCTGGGAAATTAAGGCCGCATACTGTCTTCAAAAATATGATGGTCTACGGTATCGGTATTTATTAGTTTGCACGTAAGAGAAATATCATTAATTCTCCATTTGATAAAAAAAAACAAACATTATATCTTCACGAGTAAAAACTTCACTCTTAGTATTGTCCAATCTGAACGGTACATTAGTTTCTCTGCGTAGATTTTCAGTTTCAAGTTTAGTTGAAGTGACGGCAGACTAAATGGTTGTGTTGTCTACCTTTGCAGCATAGATCAATGTTTTTTTTACTTAACTACACAATTTATATCATTTTTGTCAGGAAATTTTACCAGATAATACTAGCAAACGTCAAAATTGCAGTGAAAACCCATTACAACTTTGCGTCAAAAACTACGTGACACATTCCCGCGCTTTTCTGTATAGCAAATTTGCACAGCGTGACGTGAAAAAAAATAAAGAAATAGAAAATTTCATGGTTTTCCCGTTCAATACAAAATATTTATTTCATTTGTATAAAACGAATATGTGATAACAACCAAAATACCAGCGTTGTGGCAAGATGTGTTTTCGTAGCAATCTCAGTCGAGAAGTAATAACAATCATTCAAAGGGGCGGGGGTTACGATTGACGTTTTAACCTAGAAGATGATTGATAATTTATCCAAAATAGTCAAATAGGTACATTGTCAAAAGAAAAATTTGCAAAAATCGCTGCAATTTTAACAAAAGGTATAAATGATCTTTTATGTTAATCATCTTAAGTCCCGGTTTTTCTCTCTCAGAAGTGACAATAGTGCAAAACGTAGGGATATTGAGCATGAACGGAATATTCTGAACGACAAAATTAATGTCATTAACAATTTATAAAATTATAATTAAATAGATTCAAGTATGCAGGATCCGTTCCTTCGTGGTTGATGGACTGTCAGTAAGTCGTTTTCATAAAAGGGTTTGGTGTCCAGCAGCTTTGCTGCATTTTCTTGTTAAAATCGTAACCAATGGAAACAAGAATACTCGTTTACGTAGTTAATTTTACATAGGTTGTTAAGGACCTATATATTAATGGTCGGGTGGCGCATTGGGTAACGCACTCGCCTTTCTCGAAGACGGTCGGGGTTCGGTTTCCCAAGGTATGGGGCACCTGCCCCACCACGTGGGTTTTCTCCGGGTACTTCGGTTTCCTACCACATTAAGACCCTCCGTGCACCAACATCCGGGCCAACAAGAGTAATCAATATAACTTTCTATATTATTTCAGAATTGTTGTAAATTAAATAAAGTTTCTATCTATTAAAGGATTAACTTGAAGATATTTTTAACATAACAAATATATTCAAGTTAATCATTATAATTTAATCTACTATACACAATCCCTATGGAAATCTACTTTTTTTGATGGACTCTTTATCAGTCAAACAAAAGCGACGTTACAAACGGCGACGTCATTTTTTACGTTATAGGCTGATAACATAATTGTTTAAGCCAATTAAAATGCTCGTCACCAGCAAGATTAAATTATTTATCTATAATATACAAATAAAACATAATTGTATTGAGTCATATCATTGATTTTATTGGCTAAAACCAGTAATTTGCACATTGTACAAGACAGTGCCAGACAAAAAGAGCATTGTTATTTTCTCTTTCTTGACAATGGAATATCAACATTGTCAACTGGCTTACGTGTGTGGCTCGATGTACCTTTGCATTTACTGAGATTAAAAAGTCCTGGCTGTCACCTCGTTTTGTAATTCAATATGTAGACATGATTTTCTTCGAACTCCCTGGGGTGTAATTTAATAAACTCTTCCTTTGAATTATGCATTATATTTTATTAATATGTATTCATACGTACAGACAATGTTAATCTGGTCAATTGATCGGCAAATGAAACAGGTAATATTTGGTAGTTGCATTGAGTCCAACTTAAGTAGAAATTGAAATATTTAAACATATAAAGCAACATTTTAGACCAACTTATTTGCTAAATTACATTAAACCTCAATTACAGAAAAGTTCGGAAGTGATTAAAATATTAACTAGAAGTTACAAAGTATGCAATGTTTTTCACCAAGACTCGTGTTACATTTCAGTTGGGTTGAAAGATTACTGAAGCATGAGTAACTCAATCATAGAGCTTTTGTCGGTCTGTCTAAACAATAAATTGATATCAATATGCAGTGTGTGTGTGTGTGTGTGTGAGTGTGTGTGTGTGTGTGTGTGTGTGCATGTGAGTGTGTGGGTGGGTGGGTGTGTGTGTGTGTGAGTGTGTGTGAGTGTGTGTGTGTGAGTGTGTGTGTGTGTATTATTGCAGGTAATTTAGTAATTTGCTCAGGCATTTAGTTAATTGATTTATCAATACTGTAAATCCTCATAAAAAAAGTTACAGACACACCCTAAAGAATCAGAATTACAAAGTATTTATGTTGGAAAAGTAGCGATGACTTTGCAACATTAATACGGTCGAATAATTTGAATCGAAAAATGCGACAAGATTACCTACATGTAGCCAATTTTACAAAACAAAACAGTTCATTTGAATGCAAAATTTAGTAAAGGGCTTTCAAGTTGCAAGTGATGAACATATCGGAAATAAAAAAAGCTTTATGAAAAAAATCATACTTTTATCGTCACATATCTAAAGCAATTTTCTTTGTTCTCCTTAACTTTACAAGTGCAGAGAAATATGAAATATTACATGATGACATAATGTACAGTCATAATGGACAGATTTACAATTACTTGTATTTACCAGGAAAACAGTGTTCTTTGATCACAGATGAAACCTGACACAGCTTTTAAAACTGTACTGTGTTCTGGTATTCAAAAAGCTACGACTGTTTTTACAGTGGCTCATTTAGTTTATTGCAACAGACGTGTTCGTGCTTTCAGTGATGTCCGCTATGTCACATGAAAACATCGGGCTTTGGCAAAATTCGGGAATTATTGTTTTGAGGGTTCAAAAGAACAGCTATCCTGGCATGTTAGAAGCAAATGCTTGAATATCATTAAACTAACAAAAATATGAAATTATCAGCATTTTATAACATATATATATATATATATATATACCCTTTTGTGGAGCAGTTAAAGGTACCACATCTGACTTAGGAGTTGATGAAACAGACAACAATAGCAGAAACCCAATTTTCTTCATTGTTGCGTTATTGTTCTATTGATCAGTATACAATATTATTTAGTGCTCTTGCATTAGTGAAGAACGTTTCTTTGTTTTTACTCGATAAATCCTGCTTCACTCGGGCATGGCCCTTGTGAATTGTGTTTCCCCACCACAGGGCCTCTAAATGTAATAAATTGCTGGAGGGGTTGTCTGTCTGTCAATGCATCTATCTGTCCATCTGTCTGTAGACAAACTGAATATGAATAAAAACATGAATTAGAGGTATGTTCCTTGGTTAAAAGAAAAAAGATTGGTATTTCCCCTTCTTAAATACTGCACCAGTTTCAATGATACACGATGCACATACTACTTAAATGGATGGGATGTGAACGATGCGGCTGATTTGTCGAAGCGTCTTTCTCCATGAGTGAGGCGTGAAAGTGCGTGATATTGCTGACAGTGCGTGATAGTAGTGCGTGATACTGCGTAACAGTGCGTGTTCGTGGAATAAAAGTTTCAATACCAATAACTGGGCGCAGATCAGCAGTGAAACATCGTATATACGTGATATTCTATAACTTAACTCGTGATAAAACAGAAAATCAAGTGTGGATATCTCCTACGTATATACAAAAACACATGTCCTTAGAATAGTTTGGTTTGGTTAGATTTAATTTTGTTTAACGTCCTATTGACAGCTAAGGTCATATAAGGACGTGCCTTCATGTGTGTATTGTATGCGTGCTTGCGTGGGTTTATGCAGGAAATAGGGTATGTTGGTGTGCTTGCCTCCTTGCGATAGCGCGGATACGATGCCAACTTAATAGTGCTATCTCACTGAAATATCATGCCGAAGGCACACAACACAGCATTCCGCCCGGTCACATTATATTGATAACGGGTGAACCAGTTGTTGCCATTCCCCTTAATGCTGAACGTTAAGCAGGGAATAACAACTATCATTTTTAAGGACTTTGGTATGTCCCGACCTGGGGCGCTAGGAAATTAAAGGTCGTTAAAAGTAGAAAGAAAGATAAAGATCCCAAATATTGCAATGGGCGCAGCAGATTTATTTTGGTCGCCTTTGTGTCCCCAAATAGAGGACACCAAAGCAAATCCCCAATCCTGCAGGGGGTTCCACATTAGTCGCCTCCTACTATACATGCAGTGGATAACAGCAGGTGTATTCTTTTCCTGATTCCCCACATGCACGGGTGCCCTAAAATAGCTCGCCTCCAAATGCTTCATTTTCCAAAAAGTAATCTGTCTCCAAAATTCTAAGTGTTTCTTAGTGCACTTCCTACACGTGATTGTATCAATTTGTATTAATTAACATTATTTAATTAATCAGAACTAACGAATGATTATTCAGTACATATATTAAGTGTTGTATTCAAATCTGTCCTCATTTAAAACTTATTAATGACAGTTTTACGGGCTGCTTATTTAAAATTGCCAGTAGCGTATAAACTTCTCTTTTTCTATTTTCTTCAATGAAGGAAGATTATCTGAAACAGTTGTGTTTGCGCATGCGTATGATATCAATGGGTTATATATTTGGTGTTTCAGGACGACGATCAACATTACCAATAAGCAGTACTTCCGCTGTAGCACTCGTGCTCATCGTCGGGTTTTCATTTGGATTTATCATAGCTAGTTATACAGGTTCCTCCTTAACGACTGTTGATATGAAGAGTGAACCCCGCCCAATGGAGATCGAACTATCCAATGACGATAACTTAATCCAACCAGAGGAAGGCCGAAGTAATACAAATAGCAAAGGATTGGACTCGAATAGCATTCCACTCGCTGATAAAATTCCTGCCAATAGCGGAAATAACGTCAGTAACAGAACTCAATCACCGGAAGCGAAATCTACTGCGCATCCAACGGTCGAAGGACTGTCCAGATCGCAACATCCGCCTCCTGGAAGTAAAGAATCGTTCAAAATTGAAAATTTACGACGAAAAATTCCAGCGTCTGAGGTTGGTATTGCTATAAGAAAAGACATGAAAAGATATATTTGTAATGGCTACGGTCCAAGACTAGGAAATCTCATGTTCCTGTACGCCACATGTTATGGTACCGCGTACGATTTCAGCATGACACTCGCCCTTAACAACGGAGACTATATATATGGTCCCTTTGAGGGGATTCCTAAACCCAAACAGCCAAAATCGCGATATTGCAGAGGAGGCCAGAGGTCTTTTAACGAAGTCAAACCAAGATTTTATAAGAGATTTAACATTCAGAAGACAGATAAGTATGTAAAATTAAACGGATATTTGCAATCTTGGAAGTACTTTGCAAATTCTTTTGATGATTTGAAGCAGCAATTTACGTGGAGAAAGAGCATACGGGAAGCAGTTGTGAATATTATCCAACGTTTGGTCAAAACTAGTTATCCTAAAGACGACTTTAATTCTGTAACCACCGTCGGAATACATATAAGGAGAGGGGACTACGTACATGAACATCGACCAATGGCGGATAAGCCCTATATAGAGAGTGCTAAACAATATTTCTTGAGCCGATACCCTAAAGTTTTATTTATTGTTACCACTAACCCTGAATCCGAAGCTCGAACCTGGTGTACGACAAATGTTATTAATGGTACGGGGAAGACAGTGTTTTCTGGAGCGAAAAATGACCGCTATGTTGACATGGCGCTCTTGTCAATGACTAATCACGTGATAATATCTACTGGAACATATGGGTGGTGGGCGGGCTTTCTCAGTAACGGAACAGTCATACATTACGATTGGATTCCGAAGAACCACTATAAATTCAATAGGGAGGATTATATTCTGCCGTACTGGATTGGAATTAAAGCAACAAAAATTGATTGGAGCAACTCCCAATTTAGGACAATCAAACCACTATAATTTCTACACACGGAGAAGGATAATGTTATTTTTGCGATATTAAGAGTTAAGTGAGATTCGATTTGTGATACGTTCTTTGAATGGTTAATTTGCTGTGCTCATACATGTAGATATATTTACATCATTGCCAGCGGAAATGCATTTCATTTGAGTATGAAAGCAAAAACTCTCGTGAAGTAACACGTGGTTTAATTATGATGACATGGATTAACCTTGCTCAATGAAAGTCTTCGTTTCGCAAAACATGGAGAATGCCCCTGCGTCAAACACTCAAATGACTACGGTTAATTATTGGCGCCAATTTTATTTAAACAGGACTGTTCCGCCGATCTCTTTTTAAGGACGACCCATATACAAAACGCAGTTAATTAGTTAATTATTTAAGAACAAATAAATCAAATTAAACAATTGTTCTTTAGTAAAAATATTAACATATGGATTGAACGGCGTTTTCTTTTATTTTCATGCCGGTATGAAAATTACACAAAACGCCGTTCAATCCATATGTGTCATTCGATTGGTTCTCTACGATACCGTAAGCAATATTTCGTTTTTTCGAAACAACTTGAACAGGAAATGGATGTTTTAGGGAACGAATGAGATTTCGTGTACTATTATGAGGTATTGATTTTATGTCTTTTGGGTTTTTTTCCAACCAAATAACACATGTACATTATATTTGCATACACCTTTTCGCGTCTTAATACATAACGTTTAACTGCACAATAACGGATAAAAGTAAAATAAAAGAGAAAGTCTCTAAGAGTTTCACAATGGAATTAGGAATTTTAAAATTATACTACCTGCCTTTATAATAGTTTCACGCTCCACAAAAATCGTTATTATGTTTTTTTATGAACAGATCTTGATCAGAAGATGATTAAAATTCAATATCTATTTTACTCAAATCATCAAAATCTTGAAATTAGTAATTCTATCTTGACATAGTAATTCTAAAAATAAAATGTTTGACATTATGACTTTATAATCAGAAAATACAATCAGCACTAATCGACAATTTTGACTCGAAATACTTGACAATTTAGCGAGCGGCAGTTACATCTTTACTTGGAATTACGGAATGGTATTTAATTTTCTTTCGTCCGATTTAGGGAGAATAAATATGAATTCCTATTGAGACAGATTGTTGTTAGTTTCTCAAAGTTACTGCAGACTTTTTAGCACAATTGGCTTTAATTAAGCATTAAACTGCTTTCAGATTTTTTCTGTAGGCAATATATTTACATTTGCAGTTGCATTCATTTAAGCAATACATGTTTTAGAAATACCACACATCACTATTGATGGCAAACTTAATGAAGCAGGGCTTTATGTAAGTTTGTCAGCAATAGAAATGTGTTTTATAGGACTATTACAATATTTGCTAAATATTCAATATTTGTATTTACATTTTGATAGAATAGTTATGCTTTATTTAGTATTTCGAACAGTTCTTTTAACAACAAATTAAGTGATGACAACAATGAAATTGATGACGTCACAAAAGAGATCGATGACGAGACAATAGCAAATGTTGCTATAGTCTCATAACAACATTTACCTTCTCAATGCATTGTAATAGAAGATACAGAGCAAATGTAAATATATTGCCTTGAATCGCATCTGAAAACAGTTTATTACTTTTATTTACATTTTGACTTGTCTTTGTCTTAATTTTCAAATCAATAACGACATAAAAGAATTGGAAGAATCACACCAAGAATCAAGACATGTTTGATTATAGGAACAGTCTATAGCACGTTACTTTTGATGTGACTGAACTTTTCAAATATAGCCTGTAGAAGCAACAATCATAAAACAGCGTTTCATCAGTTCGTACTACATATGTAGCTTTATGTCATATTTTGTATTGAAACAATGAAAGAAATCACAAAAAAGTAATTATAATCATAATGAGTATTTACATTGTTTGTCAATGACGTCATATCGCGGAGGTCTGCTAAATTAAAAAAAAATGCGTAATGCGGTCGCCACGGACAGCACGGCGCAGTGCAGTTATTTGTCGGTATTGAAGGAACGTTTTACAACTTGAGGTGGCAAAGGAACCAAGAGTAGATCATGATATTGCTGTTCTACTTTATTGTAAAGCTTGATGTTTGATCTAGGTGAGTGATACTGATAGCAACATTTCAAACGAAGTTGAAAACGGATATGACGCACTGTACTAACGGTACTGGCCTTATGGGAGGGCGACGAGAATATTCAATACGACTTTTTAAACCTGATATTTAATTTCGGTTCTAAAATTATACATACAATATGGTACACGTATGTGCATTGTAGATAAATATTATAACCATGGTTTTACGGTGGACACTTCTCGTCCAAACGATAGTCAAACGTGGCTTCCGATTGTTTTGTTTACTTTTGGGTCACGTTCGTATTACTACTCATTTCGGTTCAGAGTCTTATGCCCAGAAAAGTTGCTTGCTTGGTTAACATACTGACATTGATCAACAACTTGTAACTTGTTTACTGTACTGTCATTCTCTTCCCCTGTCCGAAAGCGGTAGCTTGATAGCTGTGAGGGAAGACCGGTAATATTGCGATTACTTTGAGGTATGAGATTAGGGCAGTCTTTATTTTACGATAAGAATAGAATATGTGTAAAAGAGATGTATCGTCAGTTACATGACTAGAAACTGAATCTAACACGTCAGATAAGTCATTTATACACTCGAGATAAAGGAGGCCTAAAATAGAAAGTTTGTGATATCTTCCGGTTTTACAATACCTTATGAGAAAGAGTGTTTGAAATAGGTAACTGTTGCCCCTCAGATAGAGAGTTTGTATACCCAACCAACAGCTCATCAGACGTTCCCTATGTTTTTTTTCTTTATACACAAACAATATAATCATCGAACGTGTCGCAACGTTTCAAGACCGACTGCAGGTCCCTTTGTCAAATTATGACTGGGTGAGTGACTCAATCATATCTTCACATTTAGGGGCCAGTCGGTCCTGACCCGCTACGACACGTTTGAAACGTACATTGTATACAAAGAAAACCCTTGATACGGGCCATATATATGTCATACTCAGTATGCGTGAATTTGTTTTCCAATAGGTAATGGTGGTATAATACTTTTTAAGGGTTGATATAAAGTTTTGTTAAAACAAGGGCGAATGATCCGGCATAGACTCAGTCTGGTGCTTGTTTAAATGCATTTTTCTAAAGAAACAAAGTTGTTGTGTACCGTAAATATGTTATAAAACCACGATTTCAAAACCTTGCCAAACTGCAGAGAGCAAATAAATAGATCAATAATACGACAGAGAAAGCCTACCACTCTTCGTTTTCTGAACAAGGTTCAAAGCTTTAGGATGAAATCAATATTAACAAGCAAATAAAATAATCTCATAACATATTATTTATAAAATTATAACATCTTACCAGAGACATGTAATCTCTAATATTTACATTCTGTATGCTTAGACCCATTGACAAAAATTACATTCATAAATGCATAACACAGGTGTTCATAGAATCTCAGCACGTGGGAACTGATAGTAACCTGATCACACTGCGTAGTAATACACTACAAAAACTACTCACTCGGAACGACCGACCTAGATGCTTAATTCTTACATCTTAAAATATTATTGAACTGTGCTTTGTGAAATATCCACGTATTCACGTGTCCTGTGCTACAAATAAACATTGAATATGGAACTACATTTTGTTGTGTTATTGTTGTTGACGGTTGCTAAGATCTCTCACGATAGTGTCACATTTCCCCGCGAAAAAACACTGTTCTCGCCACTGCGTTGCACCCGTGTATAAGCAGGAACAAACCCTGTTTATTTGTTTTATTCGTTGTTATATCGATCCACTGAAAGGATTCGTCAATGTAAATATAAGGAATGATATTTATTTTTTCAACATTTATGAGGTCATAACAACAATGGGTTTTTGGACATATTTTACATGAATCGCTAACGCGATTCATTCAATATGTCCATAAACCCATTGTTGTTATGACCTCATAAATGTTGAAAAAATAAAAATCATTCCTTAAATACAAGTGAAGGGAGTCCCACTTTATTATGGAATATGTCTTAATATAATATTTAAAGGATCCTCGTGTCACCACTGCCAAAAAAATGAAAACACATTTTTCATGCATGACTAATGCTTTGATAAACTGTTTTTGAAAAGAAAAGTATACTGCAGGACTTTTATGAACAATCAATGGAGATGAAATAAAAAAAAAATATATATTCAGTCTGGGATTCCAACCATGGACTTCAGATTGTTATTCCATTGGTGAAAACGACTGTGCTACCTGGTCAACGGAATTGTACGGACAAGAAATGTGCTACAGTTAGATCCTAATGTTGGTTAATCAAGGGGGGGTTACTGTGTATAGGGAAAACGGAAGTGTAATAATAATAATAATTCGAGGTTCTTATATACTGCTTTATCACAACAAAGTTTGCCTTTGCAACCAGCCAATATCTTTCTCAACTCCCTGGGGAGCATACAGCCGGAGCTGCCATTTCGGCGCTAACAGCTAGCTTTCAACAATTCTAGAGCTGTCCAACCACGTACTCATTTACAGCTAAGTAGACTGGAACAAACAGAGTAAAACATCTTGCTCAAAGATACAACACAGTGCCGTGCCGTGACTCGAACCCGTAACCCTTCGGTCACGAGCCCGGCGTCCTACCACTAGACTAGCGTGTCTCCTGGTCCACGTATAGAGGAACAGTAAACCTTAAACGTATTTATTGCCAAACCTGGACAATCCAAACGTGAACATCCATTACACATTCTCACCGCTTCCTTCTTAATTCAGGCCATGAATAGTTGGGGGTTTTCTTCTGATAAATTTGTGTTATTTCCACTACATTAGTATTTGTGCAAAGTCTTATTGTGTTATAATCCATGTGCATGCTTTAGATTAATTCTGATCGTTTTAATTTTTATATTTGATATTAATGTAATGTAGATGAATAGAATCCTCTAATTAGTTGTAACTGATACTCAAAATTAGTAATTTTGTTTGCTTAATTTGATATTTTCATTCACACTTTCCAATTGATCTATGTTTTATATAGTATAATTCAGTCCTAATATTTTGTAAATGTTTGTAATTCATTTAGTTCTAATATATTGGTTTACTGTTTTTTTTCTGACAAATACGGCAGTGTTCTTTGTTTACCTGTATTTACCACCTACGTCATGAGATACGAAAGCTGCGGTAAGGTCATGGTATTGACCTCTCCAAGTAACCAATCAGCACGCCTGTATTTTCCATACAAGGTAGAGTGATATCTTTTAGCTTCAGTTATAATATATATATCTATGTTGTCAATTATTATGTTTACAAGAA